TTTTTAAGTGTTTAATGATTTTTTTTTTTTCTTTTTCTTTCAGATTTAACATCTTAAGTCTTTAGCAATTTCAACCATGGAAAAATTAACAATCAAACAACGTTTGAAAGTTATCGAAGCCTATTACAAAAATGGACGTTCAAACAGAAATGCTTTTTGTGCACTTCACAATTTTTTGTTCAATATAATCCACCAACCAAGAGTGCAATTGGAAACAATGTGACGTTGTAGAGAGGTTCAATTCATGCGTGCAATGACAAATAGAGGTGCCAGGATTTTTTTACCACATTCTTGTGCACTGCAGCAATGATTTTAGCTGAATGGCATAAACGAGCATGCAATGGTGTTTTCACATCTGTTACCGACCCAGTTTCTTTGAATTTACAAACAATTTTTCCAATTGCATTCTTTAAAATCAGTCCAAGTTATTGGAACAACCTTTATATTAGACCTATATCAAGTGGGTGGTTCTATGATCACCAAAGTTAAGCGATGTCAAGCCTGATCAGTACCTAGATAGGTGACTGCTTGGGAATAACAGATGCTGTAAGCTTGGATGTGCGGTTGGTGTAATGGATAACGACTTGGAATCAGAAATTGGCAAGTCAAGTTCGAATTCTAGTTGAGTTTGATACATTCACAGAAATGCAGAAATACCTTTGGGAAAGGTATGAATCCATCTCTTCACCACCTAGCTATAAGTAAATAACATGACATCGTCTGTCAAACCTCAGGGTCCGTAATTGTTTGTGTTCAATACAAAGCTTACATTATAATCGGTTAGGGTGACTATATGCATATTGGGGTCACCACACAGTAAATCTTCTGAGATTAAGGTTCTTGATGGGGATTAAATTTGATTCGGACTTTAATATTTCTTGGTGTGAATCATCTGTATCTGGATGTGCAGGTGACATGATGGATAGTGGCTGGGTTAGTGAGTTCAATTACATTCACTTATATTTGGAAAGAAATGAATCCATCTCTTTTCCTTCCAGATATGGGTGAGTAGCAAGACAGACTAAGACCTATAGAGTTGATTGGCAACCTGTCTAAAAGAAGGAAAACTCTGAATTCAAACCTGTTAAAGTTAATTAACAATTTACTTACATTTTGCTGATTTAAATTATTTTAATATTTGGCAACAAACACTAAAGAGATAAAAAAAAACCCCAAAAATCTGTTTTTATTAGCATTATTTGAAGATTTGTCAGTATTCTAATAAAAAAAAAAATGCAATTGATATAGGTCATTTTTTAAAAAGAGTCTCAAGTTAAATCTATCTATCAATCATAATATTCAATAATGTTCCAATGACTTTCCGAGCAAAAAGCAATTATCCAGAATGGATCATTTTATGGACATATGATTAAACATGTGAGTTTTGATTAACTTCAAACGATCATAGATTGACAAATACTTGGAGTTCAACAAAGTTAGACCAGTTCTGGCATCCTGAGACTGTCTATTTTCATATGACATATTGCATATAATCACTAGGAAAATATTCCAAAGATGCTAAATGTCTGCTTGTAAATTGCCACCTTAGTACATTATTTTATCCCTAACATTGTCTTAGTTTAAATTGGGTGCATCAAAATTCTGCAAGTTTATGATGAAAAAATATTTTACTTTACCTGAATATTTTTCAACTTAATCTGCTTCTATGTCAATGGTGAATTACAGATTATATTAATATACAGTAAAAATTTAAAACAAAAATTTAGCTACAGATTTCTTGATCCAACTTTTGTGTGTGTGTATTTATTTCTCTTGATATCATGTCCATAGGTGACACATGGCTCTCCACAGATTCCTTTTCTTCATCTCTGAATTGCCATGCAATCTTGGGATAGACAGTAGGGTGGTTTTGAATTAACACACACATTATATATATATATATATATATATATATATATATATATTATTAAATAATTTAATATATATAATTATTAAAACACACATACACACAAAAAGACAAATGGCTTCAAAAGCATCATACTTAGAGCTCAATGCTATTATGAGATCAAATTTATAAGGTGGCCAAGGTGGTGCACTATTCTTCAACCAACCTCAAGTGTACACTCCATAAGAAGAAAGGGAAAGGAAAGGAAAAAAATCACTAAAAAAATTACATAGATTACATTAATATACAGTGAAAATAATTTATATATATATTATTAATAAACAAACACACACACACACACACACACACACAAAAAAAAAAAAAAAAAAAAAAAAAAAAACAAACGCCTTCAAAAGCAGCATACTTGAAAGGGCCAACAGAAAAGAATAGAGCTCAATGCCATGAGATCCAATTTATAAAAAGGTAGCTGAGGTGGTGCAGTATTCTTTAACCGACCTCAAGTGTACAATCCATAAAAGAAAAAAAAATATCATTAAATAAATTTGAAAGTTTAACAAAGTGTTTAAGTCAAACTAGTATAGATTTTAGTACCATGTTGTTTCACTGTGAAAAAAGGTATCAGGAAAATCTCATGTAAAAATTAGAATAGTATGGTATATTCCCAGAATGAAAGGTGTCACAACACTGTTCTCAGTATGTCATTCATTTGCTTACTATTTTCATTATATATATATATATATATAGGATTAATACAAATAAAACGTATCAACTTCACTTATTGATGTTATAGTCAGCACCCTGACTCCAGAGTTTCATAGATGAACCTTCTAGTAGTTGTTTGTTCCACTCATCAGGAGGTTTCAGCAATTGACAACTAATTTTCTTATTGTCATTATTTTTATACTAAGTTAAAAAAAAATAACTTAGGCACTATTTATTGTTGTTAGGTTTATTTTTTCTTATGTGTGTGTATGTGTGTATAGAATGTCATTCGTTCTTTCTAGTCTCCTTATACTCTTTCCCTATTACTTTTCCATCTTCTTTTTTTTCTTTTTCGATTGAGTGTCAAATATAATGCAACAATGTCATTGCTGGTATCACAGGTAGAACTCTTGGAGGTTTTAGGGTAATAATAGAACCTCAGTTATCAGCCATTATCCATTCTAGAATGTTGTCCGAAAACCAAGATATGCAAAAACCGAGATAATATAAGAAATAATGTAAATCAGATTAATTTGTTCCACACACCCAAAATTATTAACAAAAAAATAATACATTTGCTACAGAATAACTATAGTTTTACATGCAGAAAATAATAAGAAATAAATATAAAATAAATAAATATAAAATAAAATAATAAATAACATAATAAAAATAATAATAAAAATAATAAAATAATAATAAAAATAAATATAAATGACAAATAAGTAAAATGAATAAACATTTAAATTCATTTTACCTTTATAGAAGACTCTTTTCAGCATGTAAGATGGAGAGGAGGTGTTATTGTTTGAAAGAGAAATCCTTCTTCATAAAGACTTCAGTAAAGTTTTTTTTTTTTTTTTTCTGGAGTTATTGTTCTTCTTTGTCTCTGTGTGTCACTAGGACCTACTTAGGACTGACTAGATCCCCCCTCTTACTAAAAACCTGTCTAGAGAGGTTTGTTTTTGCCTCCTTTTTAAAATTTACCCCAAATGTGACAAGACATTGTCATTAAACATGTTTATGACACGGCTTCCAACAGTTTTGTTTGGGTGATAGTTTTCAACAAAACCTGGCATCTCATTCCATTTTTAACAAATGTTCTTCATCACTGAAGAAGACACATTCTCCCCTCTTTATACCAAAGTTATTTCCTCAGCTATCATTTGTTGCTGATCCAGATAAAAGGTCTTGGAGTTCTTTAGTAGTGAAGGTCTTCCCCGTGGTTCTCTGCCCCACTCCTCCACATCCTGCCCACTTGCATTCAAGCCCAGTGAC